TCCGTCTATAAGAGTAATAAATTCACCAGTCCGTCTATAAGAGTAATAAATTCACCAGTCCGTCTATAAGAGTAATAAATTCACCAGTCCGTCTATAAGAGTTATAAATTCAAAGAAGAGATGACCAGACTCCAGTGGGAGTCTCGGCAAAGGAGGTGTTGCATCGACTGTGAAAATCGGCTCACAATATATATACATATTTTTTTGTGTAAATCAATTAACTTGAATAGACATCTGGACTGTTAGTATGACTGCAGCGCCCTCTTCACTGATGTTCAAGAATTTTACCTCCGTATGTGCCTTTAATGGGACCAATGTGGCAATAACAAAAATAGTATCGCAATCTGCTTGCGTATTTCAAAAAGCATAAAGATGATATACAGTGGAATCTGTGTTAGGTCATAGGAGTGTATTGATAAACGGAAATAGGAAGTACATCCCTAGTTGAATAACCAATGTAGGGAGACAGCATCACAGTTTCTGCATATTCTAATGTTTAATATTAAACTGATGAATATTGAATGTTTATTATTGACAGAACAGTGTGTTCTCAATATTAAAGTATTTCAAAGCAATCCAGGCATTAATTCAGGTGTTTTTTTTATCAATGAGTCACATGTGTCCGTTTTTCTGTACTTCAGGAAACAGGCTACCTATTTGACTACTGTGAAGTTTTCCTAGATAGATAACCCTTACATGCAATTACTATGTATATATGGTTTTATTATAAAATGTCAATTTTTAATCGTTTATAGATAATTTATTTAAACAATTTCAGCATTTATTAAATTGATATACATTAACGCAATACTATTCTATTGGCAGTATTATTTTTATTGACATTATTTTGCAAACAATTGTGTCTTTCATTTTTTTTTCAAAATTCACTCCTTTTTACATAAATTTCCATTTAAAACCTTTAAAATTCTAACAACCTAATTTTTTTTGTGGCAGAATTTTTTCTTTACTTCAGAGCAATATAACTACAAAATTTGAAGAAATTCTACTGAGAAATGGTGACAATCCTATTACCTTAAGCGGCCATCCAAGGGGAAAAAACCCCGGTTGTTTAATAAAAGTGGTCGTTTAATAAAGTTTGACCATATTTTGTACAGAATTACACAAACGACTAAACGACTCCTTATTCAGAAGATAAGTGTAAACAAACCACCACCCCAAGCACACTTTTAAAGATATGTAAAGATAGTTTAAAACAACATCGTTCAACAGATCCGGTGAATAACTAAACAATAGTCGAGAAAGAGAATCCAGTTAAAAAAATTGACCTAAATAAAACCGACAGCATGTTGCCGATAAACGGACCAGTATTATTGTCGTTAGTACTTTGGCGTTGAGAAGTTCAGGGATGTTATTAAAGGCTTTTAATGTTGATGAGGAATTAAAAAAAAGATATGTGTGTTAACATAAACAGGTTTAGTGCGCAGTTGTGCTGATATCTAATGTTAATTTCGCGAGAGAGTGTTGCCATGAACATCTCTAAATAGACCCAATTTCAAGAATGAAAACCCGCCAGTGTACTTCATCCAATCAGAAGGGAGGATATCGAAGGGTTAAAGGTTACATTGCCTAGCGGGACACTCGCGCAATCAAAATGGTTTTGCTCAACTGCGATAAATACCAGTCAATATTTTCACAATAAACAATATCAGCAGTAAGAAAAATTACTTTTTTTTTTATTAGGGCCCCGTATCGGAGATACAGGTGCCCTATAGTAATCACCTTGTCTGTCTGTCTGTCTGTCTGTTCGTCCACAAATTTTGTTCCTGGCTGATAACTTGAGTATTTATTGACCAATGTACATGAAACTTGGTCAAGATTTTCAGTTCACAAAAATACACATTGAGGTAAAAAGTCAAGGTTAAAGGTCAAGGTCATTAGGTTCAAAGGTCAAGGTCAAATTTTACATCTTTTTACTGATAAACATTTTGTTATGACGTTATGAAGCAAAGTTGATCAGGATTAAACAAGGAGTCAACTGACCAAGGGTCAATGTCATCTGGTCAGGGGTCAAGGTCAAATTTTGTAGCTTTTCACTGGTGAACATTTCGCTATGACATTATGAAGCAAAGTTGTTCGGAATTAAACAAAGAGACACACTGAGGTAAAAAGTCAAGGTCATAGGTCAAGGTCATGAGAATCAAATGTCAAGGTCAAATTTGGCATCTTTTCACTGATGAACACTGTTATGACATGATGAAGCAAAGTTGATCAGAATTAAACAACGAGTCAACTGACCAAAGGTCAAGGTCACTGGGTCAAAGGTGAAGGTTAAATTTTGTACTTTTTCCCTGGTGATTATTTTGTTATAACATAATGAAGCAATGTTGTTCAGAACTTAACACAGAGTCAACTGACCTTAGGGCTAGGTTACGCGGTCCAAAGGGTCAAGGTCAAGTTTTGTATTTTTCACTGAAGAACATTTTGTTATGATATTAAGAAGCAAAGTTGGTCGGAATTAAAGAATAAGTCAACTGACCAAAGATCAGGGTCATTGGTTTAATGGTTAAGGTCATTTTGGTCCAAAGGTCAAAGACAAAGTGTATCTCTGACTTTGACCCCGTCTCTTGATGGAGGAGGTATATAAGGTGAAATAAAACAAATCAAAGCTAACAAATGAGTATCGCACTGTTATTTACATTTCTGTTACCCCAGCAAATATGGAGGTGGAAGGAAACAAGACTCACATCATAGTACATGTAAAATGTATATTTTGCTTCCTTGCGATTCTTTTTGAAGTTCAAATGTTAAACGTCAAGCGCAGCTATATGGGCAGATTGCTTCTTGATGATTTTGGGGGATATATTGCCACAAGATGGGGCCCTTACTGACCTGTCAGTTTTCTAATTTTCAACTAAGTTTTGTGTTTAGGTGGAGGTTAACTTTGAGAGTTGTCTGGTGTAAAATGTCATCATTGACTTCAGAGTAAATATCCAAAGAAGTCTCTTTTTTCAGTACCATTATATATAAACCCTGGGTCCTGATAGTCAGCCAGTAGGTACCTCAGGTATACTACTGTGCTATAAATGTCTCTCATATATATGACCTTAGCCTACTTTCAAGGTCATATAGGGACAGATATGTCAATATCTTAAAAGTCTCTTTTGATTAATCAATCAGCCTGCCCCGGTCATGATATTTGGCTGGCAGAATCAAGTTTGTCCGAATCAATAACCTTTACCTACTTCTCAGTAAGTTTTCCCTATTAGTATATTGTGCAGAAAGATTGAGTTGATTGGTAGATGAGTTGTATAGGCCCATTTGGTCTCAAAATTATAATCCTGTGAATGTCTCACAATCTGTAGTCTAGACATTTTACTTAAAATCCTGTGAATGTCACATAATCTGTAGTCTAGACATTTTACTTATAATCCTGTGAATGTCTCACAATCTGTAGTCTAGACATTTTACCTATAATTCTGTGAATGTCATACAATCTGTAGTCTTGACATTTTACTTATAATCCTGTGAATGTCACACAATCGGTAGTCTCGACATTTTACTTATTAGTCCCCTACCGGGAAACCGGGGGGACTATAGTTCCCCCCTCCGTCTGTCCGTACGTCCGTCCGTCTGTGCGTCCGTCCATCCGTCCGTCCGTCCGTCTGTCCGTCTGTCCGTCTGTCCGAAGAGGTTTGTCAGCACTCTAGAGTCTTCATTCTTTCATGGATTTTAATCAAACTTTACACACATGTAAAGAATTAAAATATCTTCAACAAGTTCGAGTTTCAAGGTCATCGGATCAAGGTCAAGGTCATTATGACTATAAATAGAAAAACTTTGTCAGCACTCTAGCGTCTTCATTCTTTCTTGGTTTTTAATCAAACTTCACACAGTCATAAAGAATTAAAATATCTTCGACAAGTTCGAGTTTCAAGGTCATCGGATCAAGGTCAAGGTCACTATTACTATAAATAGAAAATCTTTGTCAGCACTCTAGCGTCTTCATTCTTTCTTGGATTTTAATCAAACTTCACACACTCATAAAGAATTAAAATATCTTTGACAAGTTCGAGTTTCAAGGTCATCGGATCAAGGTCAAGGTCACTGTTACTATAAATAGAAAATCTTTGTCAGCACTCTAGTGTCTTCATTCTTTCATGGATTTTAATCAAACTGCACACACTCATAAAGAATTAAAATATCTTCGACAAGTTTGAGTTGGACAGGTTCGAGTTTTAAGGTCAAATGGTCAAGGTCACAGTTACTATAAATAGAAAATTTTATTTAACATTCTTCCTTGCCTGTTTATCAAACTTCACACACTTGTAAAGATACCTTTACAATCAACAAATAAGATTTCTTAGTATTTTTATTCCCTTACCGGTGAAACTGGGTGGGGGTGGCAGGGAGGGAGAAGAAAACAAGAATACCTAAAGTTTTCCTCGCTGTCTGTCCGAAGAAGTTTGTCAGCACTCTTGCGCCTTCATTCTTTCCTAGTTTTTAATCAAACTTCACATTATTGTAAAGAATTTAAATATCTTGGACAATTTCAAGGTAATCGGGGCAAGACAAGGTCACTATTACTATTTTAGAAAATCTTTGTCAGCACTCTAGTGCCTCATTCTTTCATGGATTTTAGTCAAACTTCACATTATTGTAAAACATTTCAATATATTGGACAAGTTCAAGTTTCAAGGTCCTCGAATCTAGGTTGAGGTCACTGTTGCATCTTAATAGATTGCGGGGGCCGGTAGGGGACATGTATTGCTTCAGCAATACTCAGTATGCTTGTTAAATCCTGTGAATGCCAAACATCGTTAGTTGATTGGTAATCATGATAAGTTTACTTTGTCCCTGATTTCCATTTCATTGTCATGGTAACTAGATATACCTGTTGTTTGGTTACAGGTGTCACACACTGCTGTACTGTAGTAGTTTGACATTGTAACCCCCAAACACTGCCCACAGGACATCCTCCCTGTCTATACCTACAGCCGATGTTAAGTATGTGTCTGTGTGTATGACCCTGAGGAACTCACCACCTCCACTGATGAGTAGGACCCTGTCGTTAAGGTCCCCTATAATCAGGTTCCCCACACAGTCATACACCCCACCACGGGGATTAAATGGTCCACCTCCTGTTTGTGGTGTTGGTCTATATGTACTGGGGATGTCACCTCTATAAACAAACAGTTCCTTGAAATCAGTGTCCATCACAACAACATGTCGGTTTCCATCACCACCATCACTTTCACGCCTGAAATCAGTGACTGCCACATTGTGAGTGACAGGACACTCTGAGATCCTTTGTGGTGTACACACTAATGGTTTCCCAGTCCCTTTAGCCATAGTAGTACACACAATTTTACCATCTGTGGTAAATTTGGAGATGTGGTTGGTCATCCCTACAATGACATGGTTACTGGCTGTAACACATATACACAAGGGTACCTCCTTGGTACTGAATCTGTGTGTCAGGCGTCCTGATACCAGCTCCATGATGTTGTTGTTATATATATAATCACAGACCCACAGTGTGTGTGTGGTGGGTGACAGACTGATATCATTGATATAGGTATTGTGTTTGACCTGCTGTATTACTTTATGCTTCATGTCCAGGAAAGTTAATTGTGAACCATTATTGGTCCACACCTGACCATCAGTGGTGGGACATATAGAACCAATGTTACATGGAGACCTCCACTCCTCCACTACCTTGGTCTGTGGCAGTAGTTTGTATGTTGTCACTGCTTTCTTCACTTTTGCTCCTGACTGTTGTTGTTGTGTAGAGGGTTGTCCCAGATCATCAGATGTTGTGATTGACTGATCCTGGTCAGTTAAAGTTTGACCTTGACCTGAGGTGATAACTTTTCCCAAGGCTTTTTTCAAGTGATCTTGAGGACTTTCATTTGGAGTGAAGTTGGCAGTACCCAGGACAGGTTTTACAGGGAGACTGTATGTAGGAGAATGGATCTCACAATATGTATCATAAATCTGTATGTGTGAACCACGCTGGAGAGCTGCTTTACATTCTTGAATTTGTTGTTTAAGTTGTTTCTCGTACATCTCAAGGTCCTGTTTGTATTGCTTTATCAGCTTGGTATTATCCTCCTCCATTTTGTGGTAAAGAGAGAGTGTCTGTGCTGTAAGCATGTCCAGCTCTTGTTTTAATTTATCCGTTTGCATCTTTAACATTTGTGACAGCTTCTCAAAAGTACTGGTGTTGTCTTTAAGCAGGGTATCGGTAGTGGTGATGTATTTTCCAATTTGTACAAGGTCATTTTTTTCTGTTCTGTCTATGAAGTTTTTAATGTCTGGTTCTTTCTGAGGAGTGATTTCACTTAGCTCACAAACAGGATGGACTTTGTGTATAGAAGAAAGACATTTTAGACAAACCAGTTCCTGACATTTTTCACAATACATTTCTAGTTCTCTCCCCTTGTGGTGAATACATGTCGTTTGACCTTTAATACGGAGAGGAATTTGGCTTACAGGGGTTGCCATTTTGATGAAAAGCTATTTTTTTTGTTGAAGCCTTGAAGATGTTTGTTGTTCTTGTATAGAGCTATTGTTATCAGTAAACACTCACAAATAAGAGTTTGTTATGTAAAGAAATGAAAACTTGACTTATAATTGTCACATCCAGTAGTGTATGTTTGTTAAACTTATAGCAGTGTAAAAACACTAGAATAACTACCTCACGATCACTGATGTCACAGGGTTACTGTGATGATGAATCCAAGTTTTCCATTCCACACTTCTCTATGTTCACTTACATTGTCCGTATTTATCCAGCCCTGGAATTCACAATCACATGATGAACTTCCCTTTAGCTCTAAATCTGCCACATTCCTGCTGACATTGTAAAAATTTGATCAAAAAATAAAGTCAAAAGTTCTGCTGAGTTTGACAATGCTGCTGACTAGTTAGTATTATCAAAACATTTCTGCACTAGATACGCTCATCACTGCGGCAATGCGAGGTTATCGGCAGACATACAGTAAAAGTAGGTCAGTGGAGGTTGTGTTTAAAAACCTTTGCATTTACATACCTGGCATGTATCGTCTAAAATGTATGTGTGTTCAGTAATGTGATACCTGTACCTAAGGTAGATACATGTGTGTTTTGGGTAATAAGAAATACCTGTACTGTGGGTAGATATACCTGTGTATTGGGTAATAAGACATACCGGTACTGTGGGTAGATATACCTGTGTATTGGTAATAAGACATCCCTGTACTGTAGGTAGATATACCTGTGTATTGGGTAATAAGACATAGCTGTACTGTAGGTAGATATAACTGTGTATTGGGTAATAAGACATACCTGTACTGAAGGTAGATATAACTGTGTATTGGGTAATAAGACATACCTGTACTGTGGGTAGATATACCTGTGTATTTGGTAATAAGACATACCTGTACTGTAGGTAGATACACCTGTGTATTGGGTAATAAGACATACCTGTACTGTAGGCAGATATAACTGTGTATTGGGTAATAAGACATACCTGTACTGAAGGTAGATATAACTGTGTATTGGGTAATAAGACATACCTGTACTGTAGGTAGATACAACTGTGTATTGGGTAATAAGACATACCTGTACTGGAGGTAGATATAACTGTGTATTGGGTAATAAGACATACCTGTACTGAAGGTAGATATAACTGTGTATTGGGTAATAAGACATACCTGTACTGAAGGTAGATATAACTGTGTATTGGGTAATAAGACATACCTGTACTGAAGGTAGATATAACTGTGTATTGGGTAATAAGACATACCTGTACTGTATGTAGATATATCTGTGTATTGTGTAATAAGACATACCTGTACTGTAGGTAGATATAACTGTGTATTGGGTAATAAGACATACCTGTACTGAAGGTAGATATAACTGTGTATTGGGTAATAAGACATACCTGTACTGTGGGTAGATATACCTGTGTATTGGGTAATAAGACGTACCTGTACTGTAGGTAGATATACCTGTGTATTGTGTAATAAGACATACCTGTACTGTAGGTAGATATACCTGTGTATTGGGTAATAAGACATAGCTGTACTGTAGGTAGATATAACTGTGTATTGGGTAATAAGACATACCTGTACTGTGGGTAGATATACCTGTGTATTTGGTAATAAGACATCCCTGTACTGTAGGTAGATACACCTGTGTATTGGGTAATAAGACATACCTGTACTGTATGTAGATATATCTGTGTATTTGGTAATAAGACATACCTGTACTGTAGGTAGATATAACTGTGTATTGGGTAATAAGACATACCTGTACTGTATGTAGATATATCTGTGTATTTGGTAATAAGACATACCTATTTGGGAGAATATTTAATCTGTAGTATTTGTTGGAATAGAGGGCTATCATGTTTGTTCAAATGACTGACACAGATACACTTTTCAAGGTTACAGGGGTCAAATGTGATCATCTTTCTTTCTCTATCTCTCTTTTTTTTCTCTGACACTACCTGTCTTACTTTCCCCCTCATGTCTCCCTCCATCTCTTCTTCCTCCCACCTATCTATTACCATATAAAAATACCGGTATAATTTATATCAATTGCGTAAATTGCCTTATGGAGTAATTGTTTATATGCATGTATTTTGCAGAAAAAGACTGTGATAAGTTGTAAAAATTTGTGTCCTATTCTTTTGTAAATATTTACAATAGAATATGTTTAAATCAAGACAAATGTTTTAAAAACCTTACACAAACCAGTAGTCTTAAGATCATGATATTTAGCCTTCAGCATGCTTGGATGGAGGATTAACAAGTTTGTTTTAAAGAATTACCTTGACCCACATTCAAGGTCACGGGAGTTAAATTTATAAATAGCTGTTAAACTACTACTGAATGACTAAAACGAAGTTCATGATTGATGCTATTTAGCAAGAAGTAAGCCTTGATAATGTGTTATCAAGTTTGTTCAAATCAATGACCTTGACAATCAGCTACCTAGTATTAATTAACTGATTGGAATATGCTCAAAAACAACAGTTTATGTTTTAAATACATGGAATGTGACTGTAGCAACACATTTTTTGTGAATTTTCTTTGAAAATACATCAATATTGCTTCAAAAAATATTCTACAGTACAAACATACGTTGTACTGCATGTATTTATCGCATCAAAACCAACAATAAGTACATGGCACAATCCCAAATTAGGATTCCTACCCCAACCCTAGGGGCCAGGGCGGGGCCCAAAGGGAAATTTAACCAATTTTTCAAAAATCTTCTTACCCAGACTCAGAGTCCTATACTACAGTCATTTTCTCTGCATGGATGGAAAGATCATCAGGGGCTTTATTTAAATTGTAAATTTCAGGACCCCCGAGCTATCCGTTCTCCCTTGGGGAGGGGGTAAAGTTTACTATAGTTTATATAGGGAAACAACACTTTTGGGTATATTTTGACAATTTTCTGTTGGAAATTATTTTTACTTGGTCAGAATCATCTTTGGTGGACGACGGTATCACATTGTAAACTTGGAATTCCTGCCTCATCCCCAGGGGTTAGAGCGGGGCCCCAAAGGGAACATTTACAAATATTTTAAAATTCTTATCCTTTGATGACATGACAAGTATTGTATTTCACTTAATTTACATGCTGATTTCCACATCACATCTAAACAATAAAATAAAGCTACCAGTACCTATGATATAACTCAGGTGACCGCTAAGGCCCTTGGGCCACTTGTTTGAACAAGGTAGACTCCGGGGGTATTGAGAGAAGCAGCTAGACTCTGAAAATGTCTTCAGAGAAGCACCTACACAGCCCAGAGAAGTGAGCAGCTAGACTCTGAAAATGTCTCCAGAGAAGCCACTAGGCTCTGGTTGTGAACACCCCTAGAGAAGCCACGATGAGAGCAGCTAGACTCCTGTAATACAAGAGAAGCCGCATCCCCACCCTATTATATAACTATGTTGAGATTTGGGGTGAATTCCCCTAGAATTTAAAGCCAAAATTGGATGAATGTGTTATACGAGTATGAAACAGGAGTGAGAGCCCCCATGGGTTATAGTTATCATCATGTTTGCCAAGATGGATGTGACATAGAGGTCCGGTGACATTTAATCCCTGACGAAGGGCTATGCCCGAAAGCTTGGAAAAGAGTGACTTTAAAGTTTCTTAATATTATTGTGTTAAGTGATATATTCAACATCCTCTTTTCAGTTGCTTTAGACTAGAAAAAGGTGCCAAACGTGTGGGTTATATTATTACGCGATAACTGTATGCATTTATAATAATTATTCAAATAGGTTATAGATGCAGTTTGTAACTTCAAATATATTCGATTTTGTAGCTGAAATTTTGTATTGAAAACGGAAAAGGATTTGAGATCAATTATTGTAATTGTTTGAAACTATTTCTTGTTGGATTTTTATTTGGCGTCACAATTTGTGCGGTAAACTGTTCAAGGTTCAAACGTAAGGGAGGCAACTGCAAGTTTTGAGAGATGCCAGTGGGCCTGTTCATTTATGCGGAACAACCGGTTTGTCCGTTTATAAATGTAACAATTTCGGGTATAAATCCTGGCGTTTATGCAGGCCTTGCAAGGCTTTGTCAAGGCTCATCTAAAAGCAGCATCAGATTACTAGGTTCAACATTATTTAATAAACGAACAACTGTGGTCCGACCAGTTTAACCATTTAAACGAAAACGGCCCTGGCCTGTGGTTTCGTCTCTGTTCCATTGCAGCAGCACAGGGACATGGGAATTTGTTAATTTGGACCTTAACTGTGAGGTGTTCAGAGTATTTTACACGTTATTTTCTTGTATATATCATCATTTTCATGGTGGAAGGAATTTATCCTGAATCTTGATTTAACCCTATAAAACGTGTTAATTTCCTCTGAGCAGCTCAGTAAAGTTAGATCAAAATATATGCGGGACTGTAATTAACATATGCTACTGTGGTTCCCCATACACCCTAAACATTTCATGTTATAAAACAAGATGAAAGGTTAAAGTTGAATGTCATTGAGGTTATTCTATAAGTAAATATTTCCAAAATAAATAAATGTTTGGTGTTTGAACATGTGAAACTCAGCAGACAGTCACAGTTCATGCGGGTGACACATTCTTATTTTCGAAACAAAGTCAGTAGAAAAAGGTTTATTCAAAAAGTACATCTGTGCTAGTAAGTTTTCAATCTTAAAATGTTTGATTATTTTGTTTGACAAAGATGACAAACGATAAAGGACACTAATTTGATGGGATTATTTAAGTGATGTCCATTGACTAAGGGGGGAGGAATGTTGAAATACTTCACTAATTATTTTTTTGCAATTCAACAATAGTTTTATTGCAATACTTTTACTTGTAAGAAAACAAATTAAGATAAGGTACATTACTTAATAATAATAATAATAATAAATTCTTTTATTTAGACAGGGTAACATATTTAGATTTACATCTAGTTTACAATATGGCCCTGTAAAACACATTATATATACATACATAAAACAACAGCACGTCACGCATACAGAGACATATGACACACAATAAAATAGAAAAAGCAGTTAGATAGTACAATACATTATTAAGACAACTTATTATATTGTATCACTAAATATCACAGAATTGCATTTAGAACATTAGAAAATATCACAGTGTATTACAAGTCAATACATACATATATTTATCACAGGGTAATATAAGGATTATCTCTGGAAATTATATTAAACAGAACCATAGGGATAATTTCAAATATTGTACTTTAAAATATACATATAGTATATACCATATAGTACCTGGTTTCCCAGTGATTGGGAATCCCCTACCTACTTGGTCCGCCGGTAACACAT